TCTGATGCTCTCTGACAACTGTTTTCCACCACAGAGACACTGTTTCTTTTTCTGGCAAATTCCTCTTTTGTGGCTCTGCCTCAGGACAAGCTACTTGGACCAATGTCCAGAACACCATCCCAGGTGCTCACAGAGCATCTCCAGCACCAAGCCCTGCCTGGGGGTCAGCACCAGGGTCCCTACTGCAAACTGAGCCTTCTTAAGACTAAGCTCAAGGCAAGATGTGCTGGAAGAACATGTCCAGCAGTGTCATGCAACAGGAGAGAGGGACACTACTGTCACACGAGGCAGGATCAACATTTTCAAAAGTAATGCTGAAAACCAGATTTCCCATGGGGTTGTGGGAGCTCAATCCAGTCCAGCTCTCCTTGCCTGGCAGTAGGAGTGTTTTCCAAGACCAACATCTATTTTCATACCAACATCACAAGTGCTACTACACCTCATCCAGCAGCTCAGAGGGCTGCCAAGACAGTTTCAGAAAAAGCTGGAAGAGAAACAAAGGTTCGTGCATTTCCTCAGTGCTGTTTGTGGTAGAGTAGAAAATGAGGATACTAGCTCCAGGGAAAAGGTTTTCCATTCACAATGGAGACAAAAATTCTTCAACTCCCCAAATCCGTTTCTCCTGCACTCTAGTAAATTCACTAAGAAGGCTATGGATGTAATTTGTACAAAAAATCTTCCCTCATTTCAAAGAGTTTTGCTGTCCCCTGTGCAAACCTGGACAACTTTTGCTGGTCTAGAACCCTGTAATGTATGGTAGGGATAATTCATGCTATTAATGTAGGGTATAAAATATTGTGAAATCCAAACCATGTCTTTTGACCATCCCAGCGGGAGCAGCTGTCCTATTCAGGTACAACAAGTTCCAGGACACAAGATAATGATAAACGCCTTAATGTAGGAATAGAAGCTTCCAGGGTGATGATCACTGGTTTCTCAGTTGTCGGGAGCCACCCAAGAGCAATTATCGCCTTGCCGATTGCATCTATCAAGGTAAGTCAGGTGCCAAACTGATACATCTGAATACACTTCCCAGAAGCCAATTGACGTCGATGGCACACCTGGACTCGGCCTTTGTCCAGCTCTGCACATGGAAAGCAACAGCGATGCACGTGAAGAGACACAAAGAACATTTGGTCATCTTTGCCTCGGGCAGAATAAACTGTATAAAAGCTCGAGTGTGAACTGGGGAGACTCTGACACTCTGGAGGTCAGATCCAGGTTCACCCGGTGTCGATCCCAGGCTCGACGCTGAACTCTTTGGCTGTGATGGTTTCGAAGACCGAACTTTGGTCTTGCAGACAAATTAACAAATCTTTGCTAAATTGTTGATAATTTTGGCTCACGATTTGATCGTTTGTAACAGCCCCTTCCTCAAAAGAAAAAAAAAAAAAAGAATAGAATAGAATAGAATAGAATAGAATAGAATAGAATAGAATAGAATAGAATAGAATGGAAGCAACTGCAGGGGCTCACCCAGCCCTGGCAGCTGAGGTAACTGCAAGCAGCTTTCCCCACCCAGCTGAGTGATGCTCAAGGAGAAGCACTGCAAACTGCTTCAGATGGGATTGCACAATTACCCCCACTCCTCAGGGCCACGACCTCCCCAGGGGAGGTTCTTGCACAGGAATCCAGATTGCCACACACACACAGCTGCTGGGCTCCTCTGCCTCTGCCTGCAAGTGTTTGTGATCAGTTCCAGGACTGTCCTTAGAGCCAAAGTGCCTCCACAGCCACCCAGGCAGGTGGAAAGGGTGACACCTCTTTGCCATTTGACTCCCAAATGGGGCAAAGCTGCAAACAGAGCAAGCTCTCTCATACTGGGATTAGCCTACAGCCTTGAAGACCTTGCTAGAAAAGCAAGGAACGTTTGTAGGCTAAAATGAACTGTTAGCACTATTGCTCATGGGAGTTGACAGAATAATAAAACCCCACTAAACAGCTGTCCTGGCTCCCTGCCAAGGCTGGGCATCCTTTACTTCTGGGTCCTGTGTTCACCACATATTTCACAAAACCCACAGCAATGGGGAGCAACCACCCCACTCAATCATTCAAAACTAATTTCCTCCTCCATTAGGTTTTCCTGCCAGGTAGGCAGGAGAGAATTTTTCCACAGCCCCAAGAAACACAAATTCAATTACACAAATTGCTCTGATAAAAACAAATTTATCCTCCTTGCAATGGCCATGCTTGGGACTCACATTCTGGAGGGATACTCTGAGCACTCCATGCACACACACCTGCAAAACGCCACATTATTGTTAGTCTGACTTCCTCTACATGTTTTCAAGAGCTCTGATCAGTTTCTGCACAATTTGGAAATTTTTTTCCATCCAAATCCAGGTGTTCCTATAGCTGAGCTGGTACTTTAAAGTAGAAAAGGCATTGGTTTGGGTTTGGACAGGAATTCTGTAACATGGTTTTGTGTCAGAAGGGACCTTAAAAATCATCCAGTGCCATGGACAGGGACACTTTCCACTGTCCCAGGTTGCTCCAAGCCCCATCCAGCCTGGCCTTGCACTCTTCCAGGGATCCAGGGGCAGCCACAGCTTCCCTGGGCACCCTGTGCCAGGGCCTGCCCACCCTCATGGACATTGTTCCACTTATTAACCCATGGCCTGCAACATCCTGGCAAAGAAGAAATCACAGTAATAAAACCAACAGGAACACTGAAGGAAAGAAGAAAGTACTGAAGGAAAGAAGTATCAAAGGGCTGACTCCAACAACACCCTAAATCCTACATGATGTCATGAGTCATCCTAAACTGGGATCTACCTGATGTCATTTAGTCATCCTAAACTCTACATGAGTCACCCAGCTGGGACTGTCTGGCTGTGTGAAATGAAGGTGCAACCAAAATTTCCAGGAAATTTTTTTGTCTCAGCTCCAGAGGCTTCCACACCTCCCAGGCATTGGATCCTTCTCCTTCCCAGCTGGATGTGCCACAGAAACAACCCAAAAGCTGAAGGTTGATGCCCAACACAAAACTGTTGGTGAGCCCACAACCACCATGGGTTAGGAATCAGCCCACAAACAGCCTCTCCAGCAGATCCAGCTGGAAATGAGTGCCTGGGGCGCAGGAAAGGACCAGCTGAGGTGGGTCAGGGACCACCAGCCCAGCTGCAGCCACAGGAGGGGCCGTGGTGGGACCCCAGGGCTGCAAACACATCTGCCCTCGGGGTGCCAGGCTGCAGTTCCTCCTCAGCTGAGTCACAGCAAAACCACACAGGATCAGCTTTCAGTTTCTCTTCATTAACCAAGAGGCTGTTAATTTTCACAGAAACACCAGCCCCTGCACCAGCAGTTAGCCCAGAGTTGCTGATTTTCTGGCAGGGGTTTTGCAGCCCCATCCACACAGGAATTCCAACATGATTTACTCAAGTCCCTGATTTTATGGGACACCCCATGGCGTTTATGGGAGAATTAACCCGCATGCACACATCACTAGGGGGGAACAGGAACAGAAAAAGAAATTACCACTATTCTTACTGAAAATATTTGGTGGAACACAAGCAGTGCCATGTTGCAACTGGGCTGCTCCAGCTGGAGAAGGTATCAGCTATCCCTGGAAGAACTTGCTGCAATTTTCTCTGGCAGCTCGGCGTTAACCGCAGCGCTGGAGCCTTTGAAAGCGATTTCCAAAAGGCAGAGGGGGCAAGAGAACCTCAAAATCTGCAGCTACTTAGCCAGAAAACTTGGAAGTTTCGGTTCACTGTCACCACAGGCTTTTAAACAAGGAAAACAGATCGAGTTCTGGCATGTTGATTCAACTTGTGCTAAACCACTTAACCCTGAAAGCAGCAACACACACACACATCGCTCAGAGCAAAACACAGCTGCGGCACAGAACAACAGGGAATTTTCACGGCTCCTTCAGCCTCAGCGTCCGCACCTTTTCACAGGATCACCGAGGTTGGAAAATAAATCTAATATCATCAAATACAATCATTAACCCAGCACTGCCAAGTGCTCCACTAAACCACATCCACACGTATTTTAAATCCCTCCCGGGACGAGGCTCCAGAGAAATATTCAGCCTGTTCCAATGCCTTCCCCTTCAGGGGAAAAAGCTTTTCCAAGTATTCACCCTCTCGTCCCCGTTCCCATCTCTGTCCGTCTCCATCTCAATCTCTGCCCCCTTTGCAACCTCCGACTTCTTCCACATCCCAATCTCCGCCTCTGTCCCCATCCCCGTCCCCAGCTCCATTCCCATCCCTGCCTCCATCTTCATCCCTCTGTCTCGCTGTCCCCTTTCTATATTCTAATATCTAATTCTAATATCATCAAGTGCCATCATTAACCCAGCACTGCCAAGTGCTCCACTAAACCACATCCACACGTATTTTAAATCCCTCCCGGGACAGAGGCTCCAGCCTGTTCCAATGCCTTCCCCTTCCGGGGAAAAAGCTTTCCCAAATATCCTCTCTGAACCTTCTACAGCGTAACTTGAGGCCGTTCTCAAGTTCTGGAAATCGCACCCCGGGTGATTTTTCTCACTCCTCAGCTGATTTCTCTCACTGCCAGCCCTTCCCAGTAACCAGAAAAACACGTTCTCTCTCTGTAACTCCTTCCCCAGCCGCTCAAGCCCTAAAACCTGAGCGAAAATTCAACAAAAACAATATCACGGCGCAATGAAATCACGCTCAGCACGCAGCGCCGTGTCGGACACCCGCCCCGTCTCTATCAGCTCCTCCCCGGCCACTCGCAGGGGTCACACCAAAAGCTTTTTTTTACCCCTCATTAAAATTTTCTAAGTGACTGAGCAATGCCTCGCACAAGCGCGGCCAATTTTAACAGATTACAGCCTCGCTTTCCGCGGAGCTTCATTACCATCAGATTAGGGAGTTTGGAAGAAGGAGCATCTGGCGCTGCTGCTGCTCGGGAACATCCCCAGCGCGTCCCTTCCTCCCCAACCCAAACTTGGTGCTTTTTAAAGAGAACGGGCACCCACCCCATCCCACCGAGGTGTCCCTGGTGCCCTCGGTGCCCCCGGTACTCACGCATGAGGGTGCTGAAGGCGCAGAGAGCCAGCAGCGCCTGCAGCAGCACCCCGAAGCGCCCCAGCAGCGCTCCGCTGCCGCAGCCGTGCGCCGGCCGGGGGGCGGCCATGGGGATGCCGAGGGACGGGAAAGTGCGGAGAGGTGCGGGAGAGCCCGGGACGGAGCGGGGACGGGGACGGGAATGGGGATGGGACAGCCCCGAGCCGCACAAAGGCGGCCCCGAGCCGCCGCTCCCGCCCCACGGCCCGCCCCGCCCGCAGCAGCGCCCGGGGCGGGGCGGGAGGGAGGGACCGAGGAGGGGATGGGGATGGGGAAAAGGGACATGGAGATGGGGATGGAGATGGGGAGAGGGACAGGGACAGGGACAGGGAAAAGGAAAAGGGACATGGATGGGGACAGAGATGGGGATGGAGAGAGGGACAGGGAAAAGGGACATGGATGGGGATGGAGATGGGGATGGGGAAAAGGGACATGGATGGGGACAGAGATGGGGATGGAGAGGGGGAGAGGGACAGGGAAAAGGGACATGGATGGGGACGGAGGAGGGGATGTGGGAGAAGTTGGAGATGAGAATACAAAGGGGACAGAGACACAGAGGGATGAAGATGGAGGAAGGGACGAGAATGAGGATCAGGACAGGGATGGGAAAGGGGACAGAGATGGAGATGTGGGAGAAGTTGGAGATGAGGATACAAAGGGGACAGAGAGACAGAGACAGAGGGATGAAGATGGAGGCAGGGATGAGAAGGGAGTTGGGGACAGGGATGAGGATCAGGACAGGGATGGGGAAGGGGACAGAGGGAGAGATTGGATATGGAAGAAGTTGGAGATGATACAAAGGGGACAGACATAAAGATGGAGACATGGAGATGAGAATGGGGACGAGAACAGAAATGGAGTTAAGGACAGGGATGAGGATCAGAACAGGGATGGGGAAGGGGACAAGGATGGGGACAGAGGTGGAGATTGAGATGTGATAAAAGTTGGAGATGAGGATACAAAAGGGACAGAGATAAAGACAGAGACAGAGATGGGAATAGGAATGAGAATGGAAATGGAGTTGAGTTGGGGATGGGAACGGGGACAAAGATGGGGACAGAGATGAGGATACAGAAGGGGTTGGAGATGGGGATGCAGTGGACACAGACATTGAGACAGGCAGCCATGGGAAGGGTATGGAGATGGGGACAGGGATGGGGATGGGAATGGGGATGAGTGTGGTGACAGGGAAGGGGATAAGGATGGGGACAGAGATGGAGATGGGGAAGAGGTTGGAGATGGGGATGCAATGGGAACAGGCAGACAGAGGCATGGAGTTGAGGATGGAAATTAAGATGGAGGTGTGGATGTGGAAGGGGTGGGAGGTGTGGATGCAATGGGGATGAAGATGAAAATGGGTGGGGATGAGGATGGGACAGAAATGGAGATGACAATGTGGATGTAGATGAGATTAGAGATGGAGATGCAGGCCGAGATAGTGATGGGGACAGGAGTTATGGACATAGATAAGGACAGAGATAGAAATGGAGATGATGATGGAGATGAGGATGTGAGGCCCTGGAGGCAACGGGGGTGCTGGAAATTGTGCTGAGGTTTGGGGAGCTGGGTTGGGGAGTCCTGGTGGGACAGGGGTGCTGGGCTGGGGAGGGTGGATAGGGGTCCTGTTGGGATCCCCCTGTTGGGATTTGAGATGCTGTTCTGAGGGAGTCTCAGAAACATTTCAGGTGTCAGGATGTGCAGATCCCAGCAGGGTTTGGGTTGTCCTGGCTGGAGATATCCTCACAAAGTCTGGGATGCTTGACTGGGGAGGGTTGGTAGGGATATGGATCAAGATTGGGGTGCCAGGTTGGGGGGTTCCAGCAGGGATGGGGGTGCTGGGTTTGGGGTCACAGCAGGGTTTGGGGTGCCAGGCTGGAGGGGATCCCAGCAGAGTTTAGGATGCTAGGCTGGGGATGGTCCTGGGGTTCTGTTCTCAAACTTCAGCCTCAAATCTCATTTTTTTGCTCCTCTGTGTAACCCTGCCGCCACCCCCCTCTGCAGCCTCCTCCTCACAGGGCAGGTTTCATTTTCTCTCTCTTTCCAGTACCCTTGAGGCCATCTGCAGGCAGCACTGGGGTCACATGGTGAAATTTCCCTCCCTGATTTTGCAGCTTGTGTTTAGCTACAAAACCAGAGAGGCTGCAAATCTTATCCTGTCATATGACTCTGAGGGATGGCCTTAAAAAACAGCAGTAAATATTATGAGAAAAGAAAATCATGGGAGCTGGCCTGCTTCCCAAATAGGTCCAGTTTACAACACAGGAGGGAATTGTGTTGTTCCTGGGCTTGGGAATCCCCTGTTCTGGGGAGGTCATTAGTGCCAGGCAGTTTAGGCTGGAGCCTTGTTCCTCCTCAACTCAGTCAGCACATCACTGAAATAACAAAAATAGTCCCTCCTCTTTTTATGTTTTTAATTATTTTATTTTATTTTATTTTATTTTTCCAAGGGTGAATTGAATCTTGGGTTGATTGCTGTTCACTTAGCTCACTGACTTTAATTATGGTTTAATCACAGCTTCAGCCAGGAAGGTGGAAGTTTCATCTCACTAACTCATTTTCAGCTGATTTTGTATGTGCAATTGTTAGTTTCATAAAAAGGTTCATTCCCCTGAGCTGGTAAATCTGATTGTGTTTTGCAGTCAGTTGCCTTTATATTAAATTGTAAATCAAATATTAAAGTTGATGCTTTTATGTAAGCCAGTTGAACACACGGTATGGGGAAGCATCTATTAAGCAAGTACACACTTTAACAGAGATTTCTTCAGGCTCTTAACTTTTTTTTTGCATTTTCTCAGATTTCCTAGGTTGCTGCTATAAAGACATTTTCAAGAATTGCTGGATGGTAATTTCTCCCCTGGGAGGTGCCTTGGACTCTATTTACCCAGGTACAGCACAGCAATTGGAGAAAACAAAGGGGAAAGAAAATACATTTAACCAAGATGAGTATTTCTTAACAAAATTTCAATTTCTGTGAATAAGCTGCAAATTATCTGTGATGTATCAGGGTCTTGCCCAAGGGGACAATTTTAAAAAGCTCTCTCAGAGTCAGTTCTCCCTCCTCCCCTTTCCTCAAGCCCAATCAATGGTGATTCCTCCCAGCTGCTTTATCAGCAGCACAGAGTTATCCCAGGCCTTGTTTCCAGGTGCTGATGGTTTTACAGGAGAGCAGGGTGCCTCCCACGTGCGAGAACACTGCGGCTCCAGGAGGGCAATAAACAGAGCCTTGATTCCCCCTCCTTGCAGGAAGGGCAGAAATCCTTCAGTGTCCCTTGGTGTTCCTCACTCCTCCGCGAAAACACAGCTCTGCTTTATCAAAGGCACCGTTTGCACTTCAAGATATTTGTGTTCTCTGAGCCCGTGCTAAAAGTCTTGAAGTTTTGTCTGTATCCCAAGTGGAGCCCAGGAGCTTTGGTTATTAAAGTCTAACCCTAGAATTCTGGCAATTAAGATGCCCCGATGCCCCACCAATTACTCCTTTTTTTTTTCTTGTTATTTTTTTGGTGGTTTTTCTTTTTTGTTTGTTTGTTTTTGGTTTTGTTTTGGTTTTTGTTTGGTTTTTTTTTTTGTTTGGTTTGGTTTTTTGGGTTTTTTTCCCCTGAGGTTTTTTTCTCTCTCAGGAGACTTTAGAGCCTCTTTCAGTATCTAAAGGGGCTCCAAGAGAGCTGGAGAGGGACTCTGGACAAGGGCATGGAGGGATAGGATAAGGGGGAATGGCTCCACACTGCCAGAGGGCAGGGTTAGATCGGATATTGGGAAGAAATTCTTCCCTGTGAGGTTGGTGAGGCCCTAGAAGAGGGTGCCCAGAGCAGCTGTGGCTGCCCCTGGATCCCTGGCAGTGCCCAAGGCCAGGTTGGATGGGGCTTGGAGCAGCCTGGGATGGTGGAAGGTGTCCCTGCCATGGCAGAGGGGTGGAATGAGATCATCTTCAAGGTCCCATCCAACCCAAACCATTCCATGTCTCTAACATTTGAAAAACACCCAGCAAAAGAAGAAAGCGAGTCAAGTAAGCACTTAAGCAAGAAGTAGAACTTAATGAAGGAATCATTAAAGAAGAAAAAAAGAGAAACTAAGAAAAATTAATTAAAATGTTAGGCCGTGTGCTTAAGCATAAAATCAGAAACACCAAAGTGATTTCAAGTGATAAAAACTAACCCAGGCTATTTATGAAAATATAAGGAAAAAAATGAAAGATGGAGGAAATCTGTGAATTCTCTATAAGAACAATAGTCTACTTTATGACAGAATGGAAGACCAAATAATGGAAACCACAGAATATTTATAACAAATATAAAATTATATAAATATAAACAGAGAACCTTTATATTATATAAATATAAACGCAGAACCTTAATTGCCCCATCCTTCCAAAAAAAGGATTAGCAAGTAAAAATAACTTAAAACAACATGAGCCGTGATAATCCAAGATAAAAACAGGTTAAAAGATGAGAGGAATCAAGACTGATGGATTCAAGGGCCTGAAGAAACAAAGCAAAAGTAGCTGAGAAGTGGGCAGGGTAAAGTTTGGCTCCTCAGAAATCTGAGACCCACCAGCTTTATTCCAGTAGCCAGGAGGACACTGGTAAAAATTACCAAATAATCAATTTATAAGAATCTGGCAGAAAATAATGTAATAAAAACCAACCAATGCGGATTTGATTAGAATAAATCATGGCAAGGGAGTTTTATTTCTGCTCTGAGAGGATGACTGGGTGTATCTCGGCTTGGGGAAGGTTTGTGTTGCTGCCCCATAAAAACCCATCAGCTCTGCAGGAGCACCAGCTCTGGACAAACCCCAACCAGCTGCTCCCAAAATCTGTTTGCTCTTGCATCAGGTGGACATCTGAAGCTGATTATCAGACTAGAAGAGGCTGCAAACCTTCATGAGGTTAGGGTGAAAATTAGGAATTATTTTGTTAGATTGAATGGATGGTTCCAGAGCCAACAGAAGGAAATGCAGTGAGTGGTAGGGAAGGAAGGAGGCAGAAAGTGGCTGGAAAGAGCATCAGGAGATGCAAATGTCCTGCAGATAAAATGTGAGTGGATAACACAAAAGTTGTTGCAATGAGGAATGTTGCACCTCCCCTGTTTGAGGAGGTGATCTGGAG